AGTACTCACCTAAGAGTATTCTAATTTCCATCAGCATAGATTATTCTGTATGTTTTTGAACTTCATAACAGTGGAATTTTATAGCATGTTGATGGACATTTGGGTTGTTTCCAGTTTGAGGTTTTATGAATAAAGCTGCAGAGAACATTCTTGAACTTGTCCTTTGGTAGACAACACTCACTTCTGTTGGGTACATGCCCAAGAGTGGAATTGTTGGATCATAGAGTATACATATGTTTAGGTTTAGTAACCACTGCCAAATATTTTTTTTTTCAAAGTGGTGTTATCAAAATATTTCCACTAACAAAATAAGGGAATTTTAGTTGCTCCTTACCAGCATTAGTATATTGATTTTTTAAATTTTAGCTCTTTTGATAAGTATGTTGTGGTATCCCTTTGTAGTTGTAATTTATATTTCTCTTATGCAAAAAAGATATTGAGCAACTTGTCATATGTTTATTGAGCATTTTTATATTCTTTACTGTGAAATATCTGTGAAAGTCTTTTGCCCATTTTAAAAACTGGGTTATCTACCCACAGCATGGGAGGAAATATGTGCAAATCATGTAAAGGGTCTACTATCCAGAATACATAAAGAATCCCTACAACTCAACAACAAAAAGACAGACGATCCGATTTAAAAACTGGCAAAAGACTTGAACAGCCATTTCTTCAAAGAAAATATGCAAATGGCCAACAGGCACATGAAAAAATGTTCAATGTCATCAGTCATTAAGGAAATACAAATCAAAACCACAATGAGATATCACTTCACAACTACTAGGATGACCATTAGGAAAAAAAAGAAAAAGAACAAATATTGGCAAGAATGCAGAGAATTTGGAATCCTCGTCCATTGCTGGCGGGAATATATAATGGTGCAGCCACTGTGAAAAACAGTTTGGTGGTTGGTTTCTCAGTAAGTTAAACATAAACTTACCATATCACACAGCAATTCCACTCCTAGGTACATTCCCCAAAGAACTGAAAATATACGTTCACGTTTGTATAAAAACTTGTACACAAATGTTTATACCAACTCTATTAACAATAGTCAAAATATGGAAGCAACCCAAATATCCATCAACTGATGAATAGATAAACAAAATATAGTATATCTATATAATGGAATATTATTCAGACACAAAAAGTAATGAAGTAAAACCCAAATGAATCTTGAAAACATTATGCTAAAGTGAAAGAAGTCAGATCCTAAAGGCCACACATTGTACGGTTCCCTTTATATAGAATATCCAGAATAGGCAAATCCATAGAAACAAAAAGGAGATTAGTTATTACCAGAGGGTGAGGGGACGGGGGAACAGGGAGTGACTGCTTAATGTGTGCAGAGTTTTATTTGGGGTGATGAAATTTCTGAAATTAGATAGAAGTGATAGTTGCACAACATTGTGTATGTACTTAAAGCCACTGAACTGTACACCTTAAAATTTACAATGGTAAATTTTATGTTATATGTATTTAACCACAATTTTAAAAATTGGCTTATCTGTCATTTCTTATTAATTTGTTAGAGTTCTTTATGTATTCTGGATAGGAGACTTGCCAGATATATTGTCTTCCTCTCTATGTCTTACCTTTTCACTCTCTTAATGTTATCTTTTGGTGAATGGAAATTCTTAATTTTAATGACATCTAATTCATCAATCTTTTCTTCATAGTTCATGCTTTTTATGTCCTATTTAAGAAATCTTTGCCTATCTCAAGGTTACGAAATATTCTCCAATGTTTTCTTCTAGGTGCTTCATTTATTTAACATTTAAGTAAATGATTCATTCTAATTAATTTTTGTGTATAGTGTGAAGTATGAGTTAAGATTCATTTTCTTCCATACAGAAATTAAACTTAACTAGCTCATTTATTAAAGACCATCCTTTCCCCACTGCACTGCAGCGTCACCTTTGTTATAAATCTGGTGAGTATCTATATGAGAGTCTGTTTATGGACCCTGTGTTTGCCCACCTTGTATTGTTACCACATTGTCTTAATTTGTTGTAGCTTTTTAGAAAGACTCAGAACCTGGTAGTGTAGTTCTTCCAGCTTTGTTCTTCTTTGACATTACCTTGGCTATTCTAGGTCTTTTGAATTTTCTATAAATTTTAAAATCGGTTTGCCAATTTACATACACATACATACACACACACACATACACACAAACACAAACCTGCTCGGATTGTGATCGAGATTCTATTGATGCTATAGGTCAACATGGGGAGTACTGAAAGAGAGGCAAGAGATCATCTGCAGCCTTTCTTTCGGGGAAGCAGGCTCAGATGCCTCCCCCCATACCCCTCCCCATTTTCCTATCATCTGCAAGTTTCCGCTAATGCTACTTTCTCCCAGAAATACTTGCTCCCTCCTCTAAACTCCCACAGAAAGCTCTCCACATCTTTCTAATGCATCTCAATACAGTTCTATATTATACCAAAGCCCTTTGGTTGCCTGGTTGTCCGTGAGCTTTTAGAGAACAGGAAATCACATCCGACTCATTTGAGAGTCTGTGGGGGAGAAGTATAATGAAGTGGGAAAGATATAGACCAGTAGAGTACAACAGAACTTATGTGATGATTGAAAATGTGCTATATTAGCACTGTTAACACTATGACCAGTAGCCAGTTATGGCTATTGAGTGCTTGAAATGTGGCTAGTGTGCCTAAGGAATAACATCTTAATTTTCTTTAGTCGCAATTAATTAAATTTAAATAGCCATATGTGGCTGGAGGCTGTCGTATTGGACAGCACAGGAACAGGCTTTGGAGGAAGGCAACTGACCCTCAGCCCTACCACTCATAAGCTGTCACGAAAGGTGTTCCATATCCATTGCTTCTTCTCCATCTCACTGTCACTCTTGCCTAGCTCACAGCCACAACCTGGCCCATATAGTTCTCTTCCTGTTGTCGGACCAATTTTCTGAATCAAAAATCTAATCCTGCTCCTTTCAGCCGGAACCACCATCTTCCAGTAATTCACCAAAATGATCAACACAAAGGAAAAGAGGAGAGGCACCTTTAGAAAACCTGGAGTTGTTCCTTTGGCCACAAACATGTAAATCTACAAGACAGGTGATATCGTAGACATCAAGGGGCACTGTTCAAAAAGGAATGCCCCACCAATGTCGCCATGGCAAACCTAGAAGAGTCTACATTGTCACCCAGCATGCAATTGGCATTGTTCTAAACAAACAAGTTAAGGACAAAATTCTTGCCAAGAGAATTAATGTATATATTGAGCATATTAAACACTCTAACAGCACGTGAAGGAAAAAGAACACAAAAAAGAAGGACACCAAAGAGAAAGGTACCTGGGTTCAACTGAAGTGCAAGACTATTCTACCTGGAGAAGGACACTTTGTAATGGAAAGGGTCCTGAGCTGCTGGAATCCATTCCCTATGAATTCATGGCATGATAAGTGAAAAAAAATAAAGGCATCTGTACTGTTAAAAATATTTCTCTCAATGGAGTAAAAATGTGGTGTCCTCTCCCTCAAAGAAATAATTAAAGGAAAAAAATCTGGTCCTGTCTCTCCTCTACTAAAAATACTTTAGTGCCCTGCCACTGACTAAGCTGCTTCTCAAATCAGGAGTTAATGATGTATTTTGGGGGCTCCCTCGGTCCTCTATGTTAATTTTTAAAATATCAAACCTACAGAAAAGTGGAAAGAAGAGTGTATATAGCTTTTGTTTAGAATTACAAATTATTAACCATTTGCCCTATCTCTCTGTTTCACTTTTGCTGGGCCATTTGAAAGTAAGTTGTCAACACCTCCTAAGAATAAAGACGTTTTCTTACATATCCCCAATATAATTATGTTTATGATCACTTTAATGTTGTTTTAATAATGTAAACAACTTAATATAAACATATTCTGAATCATCCAGATGACCACTATATATTACAGTATTGCCACTCAAATTCAGTGCTTGTATTAGATTGGGCTAGATCATGGGCTAGATTATGCTGCAGTAACAGCCCCAAACCTCAGTGTCTTGTAACAAAGTTTATTACAATCTTATGCTATATATCTATTACATGTTTGCTGGTACTTTGCTCCATATCACCTCCCTCCAAATGCCAGAATGATACCAAAGTAGCCCCTATTTTGAATATTGCTGGTTCCCATGACAGAGGGAAATAGAGTGCTGATAGGTCTCACATCAACAGTTAAATGTTCTGGCCCAGATCACGACTGATTGACCCATAAGTGCCCAGAATTCAGAGAGGCAGAAATTTTGCTGAACAGAGTTTAGGAGCGCTGCATTGCCCAAATTTTTGTTTGTGTTTGAGCATCGTGGAGATGAAATAGCATTACTTAAATTGTCATGGCTAATAAGAAAAGAACAAAGTTGGACTTTATGCTTAAAATTTAAGTTTACATCAAGTGAAGGCTGGTGACATCCCAGCCTGGTGTACAATGGAAGGTTCCAGAAACTCTCTTCTTCTCTTCTTCTTCCTCCTCCTTTTCCTCCTAGCACTTCTACCATTATATTAATGTTTATAGTACTTCTCTTACCTCTATACCACTGTTAATATTACTTCTACCACTATATTACTGTTCATAGTACTTCTCCTACCACTATACTACTGTTAATATTACTCCTATTACCACAAATACAAGCACCTTTGCTAAGCACCTTGCATGAATTATTTCATTTCACTCTCCCTGTAAGCTAGGTATCATCATCACTCCATTTTACTCTTGAGAAACTATAGTTCAGAGAGGTGAAGTCATTTGCCCAAGGTACGCAGCTAGTAAGTAGTGAAACCCAGGCTCTAACCTCAGGCAGCCCAACTCCAGAATTCACACTCCTGAGACCCGATGTTGTAAATATTCAAACAAAGAAAAGTTGTGGAAAAACAGAGACATCCTGACTCACTGTCCTATAAGCAGACCAACTCAAAGAACTGGGCAATTGAAGTCAGTATCATCTCCTTGTTTTGAGTGGTAATTTAGTTTCACCAAAACAACATCACCTGTCATGTTAAATTGTTGAGAATTCTAATTTTTATTTGTAAATTTGGTTTTACAGTTCTGTAAGAGTTTATACCTAGTGACGCATTTCTATATTACAATAAAGTACTTTCAGTGAATTCTATGGTGTGAGAGAATCGGGAAGAAGTTTTTTCCTTTAAAAATTGTCCATTTATACATTATTCAGGTTTGAGGAACGAAAGGCTTAATGATAAAGTTCAATTCCTAAGCAAGACTTAGAAGGCCCTTTGTGACTTGGTCCCCACAAACATCTCCAGGCTCATTATCTCTATACTTCCTTTTCTCCAGTCCTCTGAACCATTTGTAGTTCCCCAGCTTAAAATATCTTGCTTTCTCAGATTTTGTATAAGTTAGGAATTGCTTAGACTCTATATAATAGAAAATGTATTTTACAGTGGCTTAACCAAATAGGGTCCTTATTCCTCTCATATAGCAAGAAGTCCAGAGGTGAGCAGCCCAGGACTTGTGTGGTGGCTCTTCTATGTCAGCAGAGACCTCCACTCCATCTTCATTCCTCACCCCCTGCGTGCAGTTGTCAGCCTTGGTTCATCCTCTCATGGTCACAAGATAGCTGCTCCACTTCTAGCATCTTATCTGCATTCCAGGCAAGGGAAAGGGCAAAGAGCAAAAGACACACCAACTGATTTTGCTCCTTTTTAAAATGTTTATCCAAATGTCCCTCTTAGCATCTTCTGTTTGTCATTGGCAAGACTTCTAAGACCTCTGTCATATGGCCCCTAAAAGTTTGCTTACCTGCTGGTGATGACTATGCATTTCTCCAATGAAAGTGAGTAAATCAGTAGGATTTTCACATCTTGGACAATGCCTGCTTCAACCACCAAATGTTCCAAAAATACAGATGTATCAGTGCACCTTCTCCAAGAAGCAGACATTAAGATGGGATTACATGTGCAAGAGATCTCTGGGAGAAACACCTGTGGACAATAAAGAAGATGGGGCCAGAGAAGGTAGGGAGAGTTTAGACCCTGATGTAGGTCTCATACTTGTGAAAGGTAGGGAAGGGAAGGAGATTTAGGTAAGAAGAATCTCAGATGACCATGTAGTTCTAAGAAAGCTTCAGCCAGGCCAATGGAGTGTCCTTGAGTCAAAATTACCTGTTTAGGTAACCCGTGTCTCCTAGGAATGGTCCTGCACCAGTACCCCTGCTGTGCTCTGTCATTGGCAGGGGGGCTCTGCACAAACACAAATGCAGACTGGATCCAAAGGGGTAGTACCTGGGGCTGCCAGTCAATGATGCTCCCACAGCAGAGGAGCTGAGTGGTGAATTTTCATGACCACCATACAACATATTAGACTTTTGGATAAAAGGAACATCTCAAAATTCTCCCCCATAATGCCTGCAGAATCAAGTCTGAAGTTCAAACTCATGTCCTGAATATCCTGTCCTCTTTTCCCCTCTCTACCCATTGCCCAGGGTGGAGGATGGAGTGACAACTATTGAGAGTCAACTATGTGTCAAGGCTGTCCTGTGTGCTTTTATATCTCATATAATCATCAAAGCAACTCAGTGAAGTAGGTATGGCCTCCCTCATAGCAATATGGAGAGTGGCCAAGCCTACTTGCCTAGAGGAGAGGATAAGCTGGTATCAGGTGTTTGGGGGCTCTTGGGGTGGGAAGTGGGTTGGTTCTTCCAAGACTTACACAGTAGGGAACTCCACAGAGACAAAAAATGGAGTCCATGTGCTGGGCAGGAAGAAAAAAAAAGAAAAAGAAATGTACCCTTCACCTTTCCTGACTTGAACACTTCCCCAGGTGGTACTGCAGCTCTCTCCTTTGTGCTTCCAATAGACCTGGTCCATGCCCTTATTGCAGCCCTGATCATGCTGGTGACAACTGCTTAGATTTTTCCTCCCTTGCTTTATTTAGCTTTTCAATTATGTACATAGATCATTCATTCTTGCAGCCCTGTAGGCACTGGGGATTCCACGATAAAGGAGATAGACACTATCCCTTCCCTATCAGAGCTTCTGGTCTGGTGGAGAAGACAACAATAAAACATAAAGGATGCAGAGATGAAATGTACAGCGTGCCATGGGAGGGCATGGCGGGAGAATGCAGCAGGTACAAAGTATATAAAGCTGAAGGTCACTATCTAGCTGCTACAGCCTGTAACAGCTATGGCTTCACCTTCCTGTCTGCCTACCATTTCCCACCTCCTGTGATCCAGGTAAGGCTCTCAATTACAATGTTTTGTTCCCCTGCTACCACCAGCTGGGCATGTGATCCAGGCTGGCCAATTAGAACACCCATCCCCCCCATCCACAGGGATGGGTTTAGAACTGGGTATGGGAGCCCAGCAGGGCCAAAGTCTTCCCTGAACTTTGATTTAAGGAAACTGGGAGACAGGGAGTGTCTCTTCCTCTAAGACCATAAGCTGTAAGGACAATATAAACTGGAACAGCCTGTCATTTTTCTAGATCACATGAAAAAAGCCACCTGAAGGGGCAAGAATGAAGCTGATAAAGATGGAGCGGGGCAGCCATGGTGATATCTTTCATGGTGCATTTGTGTCTAAAGTCCATTTCTAGACTTTTTAGTTAATGTGATTAATTAACTTTTTAAAGCTAGCTTAAGTAGGGTCTGTCACTTGTTAACAAAATCATCTTGATTGATACATTGAACTTTCCATCTTGAATTTTTGGTGCTTAGCCCAGAGTAAGGGATTGATAAATATCTGTTAAATAGATGTGGTAGGTGGGTGTTGACATGAGCCAGATTTCTTCCTCTATCCTGCTTTTCAACTTTTGAAGCCTAGTAGTTAACATTCTCTGTGAATAATTCCTAAATTCACTTTTAAAAACCATTTTATTTATTTGTTTTTCCAGTTTTATTGAGATGTAATTGACATATAACACCGTATAAGTTTAAGGTGTATGCGTTGATTTGATACTCCCTTTATTTTTGATTTCTGAAAAATACAGCCACACAACTATAGCTTTGTGGAAGCTTACAAGGGCTTTTTCATTAGGCGTAGAGGATCATCTTTAGTAACAAATAATTTTTTCTTGCTCCACAATAAAGAGAGATCCAAAACATAGCCCAAGATCTGAAAGTACCGTGATTGAACACACCTAGAACCCAGATTTTGGTTTCTAATGTCGCCTTCCGTTTAAAGGAACCAGGGTTCCTTGGAGAAATTGCTAATTCTAGGACTGAGCCAGGAAATATACAGGTGAGTCTGGAGCATCTTCCGGTGGCAGAAGTAAGGAGGAGCTCAACAACAACAGACATTAGTGGGGGTATGTCAAAAGGATGCGGAGCTCCCAATAAACACTAAAATAAAAAAGTACTAATATTAGGTTATAGCCCAAAGTATAAAATAAATACAAATGAGGCAATACTGAAATAAATAATGATCAAATAAAGAAATATTCAGGGAATAAGAGACAAATCTCTCATGCAGAAGAATTCCCAACAATCTATGTAGCTATTTTGCCTTCAAGGAGAGAAAGTGTAACTTCACACTCCTTAGGAATAGGTTGCACATAGTGACGTTCTTTCAAAGAGTACAGTGTGGAAAAGCAGAGAAAAAAGAGAAATTTAGCAATGGAGAACTTTGCAATGGCTGACCTACACCTCACCCAGGTGATCAAGGTCAACATCAACAGTGGTAAGTCATGTTAGTAGTAGTTACTCTTGATAAGATGTGGTGGGAATGGTGCTTTACCTCTGTTGTCTTCCTCCTAAAAACTCATAACTCCAGGCTAATTATCAGAAAAATATATCAGTGCTCCTCAAAACTGTCAAAGTCATCAAAAACTAGGAAAGTCTAAGAGGAGCCTAAGTACGACATCTAAATGTAACATGGTATCCCAGATGGAATCCTGGAGCAGAAAAGGGACTTCAGGTAAAGAGTTAGGAAATCTGAGTGAAGTATAAACTTTAGTTAATAATAATGTATTAATATTGTTATTAATTAATTATAACAAAGATATTCATTAATTGTAACAAAGATACCAGACTGTTGCGAGATGTTAATGAAGGAAGAGACTGGGTGTGGGGTATATGAGAACTGGGTCCTATTTTTGCAATTTTTCTTTTTATATCTAAAATTGTTCTTAAAAATAAGCGTATTTTTTTAAGGTATTGTGATCAGAGTTAACAACAAATATATAGAGAGTTCTGTGAAGTTGTCACAGTAGTCACTGGTCTTAAGATCTCACTCTCATTTCTTGAAGCGACTTATGAAAAGCAGAGAACTTGAACTTCTTGCTCAGGTGTTCCATGAGCAAGTTTAAATGCCCAAAACAACCCCAGAGAAATGCAGGCTAAAGAGAGTTTGATAGCTTCCTTTTACTGTAACTGAGAATTTCAATTCAATTCAAAAATACCTATAATCTGTGCTAGCCCAGGTAAGCCCTGCTGCATAGAAAGTAGGCCTCATAGAGCAGTGAGAAATAAAATGAGAAGTGACTGGTAACTGAGGCACAGCAAGGAATTTTGAATTTACAACTCAGGCATCAGGCTCATGTCCTGGTGGTTGACATGATCCATCTCCTAAAATAAAAAGGGACAAATGCCTTCCCAGCCCAGGGTTCTAGGCCCTTCTCATGGGCATATTTCTCATCCCACTAGGACAGCTGAGGCCACTGGATTTCAGTTGCACCTCTGAGGACTAAGGATCCCTGTCCAGGGCCAGGGGGTACCTGTGATCTCAGGTATCCCCTTTACACAGCCCTTTGGCAATTGGGTGCAAAACACCTGCCTCACCAGTCCTTGAACCTAGACCCACTATGGGGGTCTGGCCTAGCTCACAACCTCACCCAGGCATGGGTGTCACAGACTGTAGATGAGGGCAAGGGTGAGAACATGGCTTGAAGGGTGAGACACTCTCTGGGCAGAAGCTCTGTGAATGCAAACCATGTAGTAAGTTGGAAACAGTCACTGTCAACTAACGATGATACCATCAAGCCTGTCGCTTTTCACTTTATAATGCAATTTGTCATACAGATGCCTTTAAATTGGGCACAATCAAATTTAACAATCTTTTCCTTAATGGTTCATACTATTTGCATTTTACTTAAGAGACCCTTCTCTACTCTGATATTCTAAATATATTTGTTAAATTTTCTTCTGACATTGCAAGGTTTTATTTTTCACATTTAGAGCTTTGATACACCTGTAATTCATTTATGGTCTGATGTGACATAGAGAGCTGATTCTGTTTTTTTTTTCCATACATGAATAATCTGTTATCCCAACACTATCCCTTCCCTACTGCCCTGCCAGCCTGGTGTCTTGGCTAAGTCAAAGTGGGCCAGTTCAGCAGACTCAGTGGAGGCCTATTGGCACCAAACGCTAGCCTTGTAGTACCTTAGAAGCTGCGGTGATGAAGGAAGATACCTTTTACGGTTTATGAGAAAAGTTGCCATTTAAAACTGTAAAAACTTTCTAGGCAGAGCATGAAGAGTGGTACAAGGTCATAGTTACAAATCCAGGTTTCAGAGTCAGACAGTGTCGGACCCTGCTTTCTCTCTCAGATGTGTTTCTTCCAAGGGCTCTATGGCTACCTGTCCTGGGGGGGGCCCTGCTCCCACTATCCCTGTCACCCTCAACTCTTCCCTGGTTGCCTAACTGTGCAGCTCCTCCCCAAATCTCAGATGGACAAAGGGAACCCACTCCTAGAGACCGAAGTTGGGTCCCCTAGAAGCAGAGAATGAGGAAGGCGGGGGATTCTTGTGCAAGCGATTTATTGAGAGAGGGCCCTAGGGAGAAATCTGTAAGCAAGGGAGGGAAGCAGGACAGAGCCGGGAAGAAATCAAGCAAATATGTGCTTTCAAGAGAGGTCTCACCACAGCCAGATCCCACACGGAGCTCCGGGGCATTTTTTACACTGCAGAGTTTGTCCTGCCTGGAGGCCAGAGAGTTGGGCTTTAAACCCCACCCTATTAGTCAGCCATTGGCCGTGGGCCACTGGGGCTGTGTGTGTAACCTCCCAGGCATCTCCTGGCAAGGCAGCTCCCATTAGCTGAGAGAACCGCCAAAGCAGTACAGAGCCATGAGCTTTCTCCAGCCAACACCCAGAGCAGCTGGGAAATGGGTGCACTGATAAAAAGAACCTGATAAAGAGAACATGGGCAGGGCACCAACAGCATCCACCACAGAGACCAAATCACTACACACTGCAATTCAGTGTGAATTAAAAAGAAATATTCTAAACAAAGGCTGAGGATGAGATGATGGGAAAGGATTCGTGACAAATATGTACTTGGATATATCTTTCACAAAGTTTCAACAGAGAATGATCACTTTGATGTTTGTTATGTTATGCTGGTTTAATTAAATTGTCCCTTAGCTTTATTTATTTTTTTTGATGTCAACAGAAATCTATGTTGATTGTAGATAAATTAGTAATTTATGTCTTAGAAAAAAGTTCCCCGTAATGTCTTTCCCACCCCCATTCTGACATAACCACTCTTAAGAGTTGGGAGTATATATCTCAGCTTTTATGTATAGGCATTATTGTTTTGAAAAGTCTAGAAAGCAGAGGAGATCTCATTAAATCTGACACACTAAAAACTTTAGCAAATATACTTCATGGTAAATTTGAAAGCTCTCTTTTTGAGATAGGGAATGAGACAAAGACACCTGCTTGCATCACAAATATTCACCATTGTCCTAAAGGTCTTAGGCAATGAATGCAAGAAGGCAATAATTAAGGCATAAAGTCTGGACAGAAAGAGGTAAAACTGACATTATTCAATAGCGACATGATTGTGTATATAGGAAGCCTGAAATAACCTAAAAATAAACTGTCAGAAGAAATAAGTTAATTGAGCAAGTTGGCTAGATACAAGGTCAATATAAAAAATGTACTTCTATATACAAGCAACAATTATAAAATGAAATATAAAAAGTTACTGCGTACAATAGCATCAAAAATTAAAATATATAGAAATCAATTTTTTAAGTGTGCAGATCTTTAGACAAAAAAAACCACTAACAAGAAAACAACAATAAAACTTTATTAAGAAGTGAAAGTTTTCTGAAACATTGCTCAGGCTTCTCATAGTAAGCCTTTTATGTAGCCCTGTTTGGATGGATTTCTATCCTTTATCTGGACTACGAGGGGTCTTTCTATAAGCATTGAACAAATCAATAGCAAACGTTTACTTGTCAGAACAGTGGCAAATACATGACATGCACGCTTTCCTTTACCTTCAGAATAATCCTGTTCACTGTTATTATGTCCACTGTACAAAAGGAAACTGAGGATCTGAGAGTTCAATTAATTTTCCCAAAGTCACCCAGACAGCAAACTCCAACCCAGGTCTGTCTGATTCAGGAAACAGTGCTCCGTATCCCTGTGCAATGACTGAAACTCAATCTTCAAACTTATATTGAGGCAGTCTTTTTAAGTCCAAAGTTGTAGCAACGTTTATAAAATGAACTTCAAAAATTTCACAAAATGGCAAATGTTGACCCTAACGTAGGAAGTCTTGGGTGTGAGTTAACCATTTGGGGGGAAAGCCATCATTTGCACATGCAGTGATGACAATTTGCCACCAGATGGCGCTGCAGCTCATCTCCAACCGCCTCCGCCTGTTCGATCCAGTTGCCAAACCTTTACACGAGAACAGAGAAATGAGAAAAATAAGCACAATGTAAGGCATTAAAATAAAAAAAAGAAGAAAAAAAAGCTTAATGTACTAAATTTAAAATTCTATCTTATATTCTGAGATCATGTTCTTCCAATTCTTTTGAGTAGTAATAGATGGTTGTTGCTATCATGAGATGCACACGCTCCTTTAAAAAAAATTCTTATTGAATTGTGAATTCCGAAAGTCTGGAATCAGTAAAGTACCATTTTCCCATGAAAAGCAGATCCATATCAAATATCTTAATGTAGTTTAAAGATTTCCAGCCCTCAAGCAGCGGTCCCCAAAATAAACAACCGATAAAGTGCCTGTGAAAGTTAAATGTAGTCATAAATATTCTATTTAGAAGCTTTTATTTATTTATTTATTTATTTTGTTGGCGAAGTGAAAAGATGTTGATAAAAGAACCTTAAAGTCGAGGAAGCTGACTCAGTGGGCATTTTCAAGGGAAATATTACCATCAAGTGTTAAATAGAGCATCAGGAAAGTATAAAAATGTGGGGAGTTTGTTCTGAATAAAGTAAAGCCAGAGTCTTAGCGCGATTGAGGAGTTAACGGAGAAAGCTCAGAACTGGTGGGGGATGTTCTGAAATGAAAGGGAGGGGAACTGGGAGGAGGAATTCTGAATGAAGATAGTTTTTTGTTTTGCACTTATAAAGATGGAGAGCGTCCCTGTCTCTGGGCGTGGCCAAAAGGAATCAGGGCCCCAGGGATGGGTGTAGAAGACTATCCGGTTGTGGACTAAAACTTTTTTTTTTTTAATTTACTTAAGAAATATTGAAATCTGAAACCCTCAGCTCAGCCTTCTGGAAGTCTTCCTTGACTCCTGCTGCCCTGCACACACACTAAGCCAACAAACAGTCTGCTGCTGTTTCTTGGTATTCTTGAAATTCTACTTCAAGTGTTTCTTTGGCTAATAATTTCCTCAGGCCTACATGTGCCAGGCACGGTTCTAATTGCTGCATACCTTGAATTTTCACAATGTGAATAATTTCTCCCAAATTACCAGTGAGGAGCCCGAGACTACAGAAAGATGTGGCAATTCTCTAGGGGTGACTTTCTCTCTTGGTCACGCAGATGGATCCTGAGTTCTACAGAGACCAAGGATCCAGGAGCTGGGTTGTGTGTGTGTGCCCTGCAGCTGTGGGCGTGGAATACAGATGAAATGGAGTCTGAGCCCTGGATGAGAAAAACCAGGGAAAGTCCCAGGTGTCAAATTTAGGAAAGTAGGTGTTGGGCAAAAATAAGGCTGGGCTTCTGAGAACAGGCAAGATGGGCCAGCAAGTTCAGGAAGCAGTGCCAGAAGAATTCCCAGAGACACAAGGGTCAAAGGGCAATAGCATTCTGGAGGTTGCCACTGTATGGTGCCTGGAGTCTATAACCTCAAATGGTGAAGGGCAGCAAGAAAAGAGACTGGCCCAGGAATTAGACACAGCTGGGAAGGTGGAGGAAGCTGACTCAGCTAGGGACAACTCTTTCTCAATGTTCCCACATCTCTCCTCTTCTGCCTTCTAGGTACTCTGAGATCTAGAATTAACCCCAGTTTTCCTGGAGAGGAAACAGGTGTGCAAAAGAGCTCAATAGGCAGGCAATTTGGTCATTTTAATTCTGGGCTTTCTTTTTAAAACTATATTTTAAGTCACATGTGCTTATAGTTTGTTTTGATTTTAGTCAAGGCAGACATAAAAGGCTTACAACATAATCCAGGCACCTGCCCCACTCCTTCCTTCTCCAGAATCATACTCCTCAGAGGCAACTTCTCTGCTATTGATTCATGGTACAGTATTGTATTTATCTCCATCTTCCTAAATGATAACTTTACATTGTTCTATCTTCATTATCAATCTTTGATTTCATAAATTGACTTCCAAATGAGGAACTAATTCTCTTTTTACAACCACCTCCCAGTTCCTCTCATTCTCCCTATGTATTTTATATCGCCATTTTTATTAATGGTGTGAATTATTATGATTATGTTATTGTTCACAGCTGAGACACATAGTATATGGTGATTAAATTTTCTTTTCCTGTACTTAATAATCACCTTATTTTTTCTTTCCTTACTTTTCTGTGTTCCTATTGTCGTCTCTCTCTCTCTCTCTATTTTTTTTTTTTTTTTTTTTTACCAAATACTTCTGTGGATCTTTTTTATTCCTATGTAAAGCCCTCCTGCTCCAAGGCTGCTTGTTCTCATAGCCTGTGGCTTAACCTTCCTCCTTAAGTTCCCTTCACCGTCTCCTGGATCTCAAGGCTTCCTCTTTCTTGGGATATTCCCTTGGGATATTTTCGCAAAGCACATCTGGCCTTTAGTTACCTAAATATATGCAACATATTTTTAACAGCTTAATTTAGATATAATTCACATACCATACAATTAGTTCGAGTGTAAAATTCAATGGATTTTAGTATATTCACAGAGTTATGAAACCCTCACCATAATTGTCACCCCCAAAAGAAACTTCATACACCTTAGCCATTATCTCCAACACCTCTCGCCACCCCATCACCCCTTCCCTAGGCAACCATTAATCTACTTTCTATCTCTATGGATCTGCCTGTTACAGACATTTCATAAAAATGGAATCATATAATACATAGTCCTTTGTAACTGGTTTCTTTCACTTAGCATAGTTTTCAAGATTCATTCATGTATCAGTAGCATGTATCAGTACTTCATCTATATTTATTTATTAAACAAAATTTAATTATAGTAAAATACACATAACATAAAATTTACCATCTTAGCCATTTTTAACTGTACAGTTCAGTAGTGTTAAGTATACTCACATTATTGTGAATTCAATCTCCAAAACTCTTTTCATCTTGCAAAAGTGAAACTCTACACCCGTTAAACAACACCCTATATTGTACACTGATGTGCATAGCAGCATTATTCACAGTGGCCAGGACATGGAAGCAACCAAAGTGTCCTACGATAGATGATTGGATAAAGAAGCTGTAGTATATATATACAATGGAATATTACTCAGACATAAGAAGAGATGAAATACTGCCATTTGCGACAACATGGATGGACCTCGAGATAACCATGCTAAATGAAATAAGTCAGAAATAAAATGATATCACATGATATCACTTATATGTGGGATATAAACCTAAAAGCAATAAACAAACAGGACAAACAAACAGAGACTCATGGACATGGACAATAGACTAGTGGTTACCAGAGAGTAAGGGGAAGGGGGAAGGAGGGAAGTAGATGGGGTGAAAGGGGTCGAATATGTGGTGACAGAGAGAAATTTAACTA